GCTGGACTGCTGGTCTCACTTACTTCCTGCTATTGTCCCAGTTGGGTCATTTGCTCTGCGGATCGTTCCTTGGGTCAAGTAAAAGACATACCAAATTCACAGCGCAAGGGGTGGTCGTGATGGTCGGTGACTATATTGGCCTTCCGCATTATTTGTCTGGCATGGATGTCTGCCAGCTGTAGCAGATGTGCACCGACACCTTTGCTAGTTCAGTTGCTGTTCTGCTTAATCTGTTTTTTTTGCATGTATTTGGTTTTAACATTTTAAACTGAACGAAAGATTTGTTGCACCATTCAACAAAATAGTCCACCACAGGCCCATGATCAGTGTCTATGTCTTGGAGGAGACAGCCAACGACAGAGCCATCAGCAAACGTAATGACGTGCCTGTCCTCCAAAAGGCTTCTACAGCTGTCTGTGTACAGAATGCATGGGATGGGGGACAGCACACAGGCCTGAGGAGACGCGGTAGGAGAACAAAGTTGCTCTCATATAAGGCTGTTAACCCTCACTCTGGTCCTTACCAGTGCTCTCATGCCCTCTGGACGTGATGCATTTGACACTGGAACATCATTTCAGGGGAGCTTTTTGGGGAAGAAGCTCACTTTCCCACAAATCAAATAAAGATCTTCATAGCAGGTCACCTGTAATCATCACAGGCTGACTGATTTTAGTTTACTGCCTGGTACACACGTGTAAATTTGCTCTCAGCTCTTAACAGCTCAGATGAGAGCTGTAATAGGTATCAACCCAATTTCAGAAGTGGCCTCATTCAGCTGTGGTGCCTGACGTGGATATACACCTGGGGGTCTGCAGAAGGAGGAAACATTCGTTATACTGTAGGTGTGTCTCATACAGAGTCACTCTCACCTGTGTCTGTTCAACTAGCAAGAGCTGTTGAGGCTAAAATAACACCCAGCAGGCTACAGAGAGGCTGGGGCCAGTGTCCTGGAAGATGGGTAGTTTTGACACTCAGCACTGACTGAAGGAACATGTTAAATAAAAGTCTAAAGGATCAAGCAGATGTGTTAAGAGCTCAGCTGGAATGAAGACCAGCAGGCAGTGTTACATCAGGACTGGGGCAGGGAACCGCTACAATAACGAGGACAAAATTACAAAGAAATGACTCTGTGGTTTTGTGAAGTTTTCAGTCCCAAATGTCTTAAGAAAGTTGCTGCAATTAGAGTGTATTATACATTTACCATGTGTGCCAACTGTGTGGGACTTAAGACACTGCACTAAGCAACCCTTAACTCTGTCCACGTTGTGAGGCCTCAGTTGTCCAGTGACAGCAGGAGCTGGGTGTGTTTCAGGCTGCTGCAAGACACTTCATACATCAGAAACACCCAGAGCACTGCTGACACATCACACATCACAGGGATGGAAGCATTTTATTACCTATTTGAAGTATTTAACGAACAAGAGGTCACAAGTAACTTATATGGCCGAACAGGAGTCACAGCTTTACACAAAAGGCTGTGGGGGACTGGAACATGCTTGTTGAAGCTAAAAACCTTGTGTTTTTTCAAGAAAACTACTAACCCCTAAATATTCAACAGGGGCTGATTGGTGAAGGGCCTCCTCTCATTTGTAACCATGCCTAGGATCTGTGCGTTCTCAAAACATTAGCAGCTTTTTTGTACATTGAAACTGATGCCAGCATTGACTTCCCGCTCCTTCTGTCTCTGTTGTAGGTGAACCAAAAAATGGTCCAGCCTGACTACACGCTGAAGAGCAGCACAGCCAAGGTCACAGTGAATGTGGAGACCAACTTCACTAAAGCCCTCTTTCTTAGATAAGCAGGCCTGTGCTGACCCACTCCTGCTGGGAATGCACAGGCAAGAATCAGCAGCTCACTGCCACTTAAGTGGTTTATTTTTATTAATACTTTTATGTAAAGCCACTTTAGATAAAAATGATAATTAAAAAAAAGCAATTATATCAGCACACCAGCATAAATTCTCCATCTATTTCAAAGAGCCACAGCAGCTTTCATGGGCAAGTAGTAAAGTTTAATGGCTACCCTGAACAGCAGCACCTCCTTCAGTACCATGTCCCTATACTGGGCACCAACATAGCAAATTCTAGTCTGAAATCTACTGGTTTACCAAAATCACTTACAGCAACAGCTTGGTTTTCTCCTTAGAAGTGTCCCACCCCACTATAGCCTAGCCCTGCTGAGCTCAAGCCATCCAGTGGGAAGACAGGTCACAGCTGGAAATAAAAAACCAAAACTGCTGTACATTTGTACCTTCCTTGATTACAGTGAAGGTGTTTACAACTTAATTTGCCATCTGGATTGATAATCTTAAACCTGGAGCCTGCAACCCACCAGTTTCATAAACAACACTAAGCAGATAGTTTCTTCATCTTCTAGGCTGGCAAAGGATCCTAGATCACTTGTTCTTACCTGTAAAAGTTACTTAATAAACAGTTTAAATTTGAGAGCACAGCCCTGCCTACATTTGTCAGGGTGGCAGGCCTAACTCAGAAACCTCTCCATCAAATTCCTGGTGTGCAACAAACTGAGCTGGATACTACTCACTCTCACTGACTCAGACAGCACTGTGCAGCCAAAACCTGCTCTTGCAAGCATCACTAAAGCATACACAGATGGCCAGTGTAGAAATAATACCTAAACACAGCAGCCTTAGCTTAATTCCAAGAGTCAGCACATGAAAACCCAGTGTAGCAGTGGTGATTGAACCATTGTACTGGGTGAGCTTTAAAATCCTCAGTGAATTGGAGCCAACAGTAGCTAACCCTTTCAATAGATGTGGCAAAGGCACAGAGAGTCTGTCCTTAACATGCCAGCATTATAGTTCAGTGGACAAGACAAATACTGATCTGTTGCCCCCAGTCTGACAGAAGTACAGTAGAAAAGACTGACTGAAACAGTTTCCAATCCCTCTTTTATTTCTCCATCACAGTCAGCTCAGTGGATTTACATTGCAGTCTCCTGTAAAGGACAGTCCCCAGCACAGCCACACAGACCAGCCCCACCACTGCCCCCAGAGCAGCCAGGATCACAGGCTCAGCAGACACTCCTGGAAAGAGAGGACAGGTTAGCTCACAGTGCTCTACCATAGAGATGCTTTTAGACCAGTTCAGTCCCACAGAAACTCCAGTCAGTATACAGGTTGGGTACTAAAGGCTTCCTCTACCTGTTACATCACCTTCCTCCTGTGCTCTCAGCTGAGACCTCTGACCTTCCACCTC